GGGCACGTGCCCATGGGTATCGGTATTTCGGGGGTGCGTTAATACCTCACTATCCAGACGGATAGAGAGAGAACAGAGCGAAACATCCACTCCTGCACATTGTTTGCGGCTTGGAATCAATAAAAGCATAGCTTTAGGCTACGGTTGTCGCCATGGCAACCAGAGACCCATCCGTGCACTATCCCACTCGCCTTCTCTCTCACTCGCTCTCTCTCTCTCTTTCTCTTCCTCCCTCTCATCCCCCTCAACTCCTCTCTCTCTCTCTCTTTTCCTCATCCTCTTCCTGCTAACCCTCCGCATCCCGTTCCACACCACCTCTCGCATCCAGCCTCAACCCCTCGCAGTTTATCTCCGTCCCTCTTCGATCCTCAAACATACGCACCCTCCGTTCTCTCTCTCTCTTTCTCTCTCTCTCTCTCTGTGCCCTTCTTCGTCTTCCCTCTCGTCGTCCTCTTACGCTACATCAATTCTCCCTCTTCCCTACCGCCATCCGTATTCCTCTTCTCCTCCTCTGCCCCACTAGGCTCCTCAAAAATTCCGGAAAGCTCCGCGCGCGAATTTACAGCCGCGATCGAATTGGCGTCGGCATGAAACGCCCCTAAACTCGGATCGCTCTTCGCGAGTTTGTTACGGCGATGACGGTGATTTAAGAGAGCCCGACATTCGCTCGTGGACAGTCCGATGCCCGATGTTTACCTCGTAAGCTCATGCAATGTGATGCAGGTTCGGAGCACTTACGGCATTACTTGCATATCTTGCATCTCTGTCGGGATGATTAAAGGTCGCGACACCTTTACTTCGATAAGTTTCGCCACGCGTACCGTGTCCGCACGGGAAAATGGCATTTCCCGCGAGAATTACTGAAAAACAAATCCTCCTATTGGACGCGTTGCGAGATTGTACCGAGGTAAAAGTGTCGCGAGCTTTAATCACCCGGCTGTGCATGCGACCTGTATACGCGAGCGAGAAATAATAACATATCAACCCCGCGATATATCAACGTTTCATTTATAAGTCCGAAATATTCCGAATTTCCGAAATTCCAATATTTCTAACGAAATTCTCTCGTCATGACTATGTATACAAAAAGAAAAAAAAACAAATTTGTTGAAGCCAACATAGCGGAACTAACGCGATATATGCATACAAAAGCGATATATAATATCCACTGTATATGTTCTCTGTACGAACACTTTGATACGCGCGATGACGTGCCTCATATATACATAACTCTACCTAAAGTCCGTATACCTGCCGATACTACGCAACAAAGTAAATCAACTTTCCCTCAAATACCTCTCTCTCTCTCTCTCTCTTTCTCTAGGTAGCTCTCTAAAACTTCTCCCCCCTCTACATCCAAAAACGACATATACATATACATAGAAAAGCAAAGCACGTGCGATCTCGAGACACGGCAGCTCGGCGATCGGTGCTCAGCAGAAGTCGAACGTAGTAATTCGCGCGTTTATTCCATGCGGCAAAGAAACGGGATAATCGAATTAGCCGACTTTTCGCAGGGATTCGGACGAAAACGAAACGAGAGAGCCCGCTCAAAGAGAACGGCGGGAGAACGCGTTTTCGGAGCAACTCGCGCAGCACGCAAGCTCCGTGGAAAAACGTCGATAAGTGTCCGCGCCGTTCTCTCTCTCTCTCTCTCTCCCTTTCGACGACGACGACGACGAGGAGTCGAGAGCGAGCGGGTCGGCGCGCTGTGCCGGGATCGAGAGAGCGCGAAGGGTGGATCGAATCGATCGATCGTGTCGCAGGGCAGATATCCGTCGCCGAACGCGTGATATTGATCGGGCCGCCACGTCGGAAGCAGGGAAAACGCAGGTAAAGCGCATCTCGCCACCTCGCGCGAAATTTCGAAACAACCAGCCGAGCGCAAGCCAGGGCAAGCCTCGGTCTCTCTTTCGTTCCTAGGTTATGACAACCTAACCTGGATGCACCCTCTCTCTCTGCCCGGGGGTTGTCTGCCACCCTCTGCCAGCCGCTGTCGGATAGCATAGTCGAGATTATAGTCAGGGCGAGTGACCCTCCGGATGGGAAACGATCGCTTGGGATCTCTAGCGAGGAACGCACATCACAGGGAGAGGCGTCGGCGGCCGGCCGCGAATCCGCGGAAACGCGAATGCGCAGCTTTGCATTGCAATTTCATGGTTGTCCGCGCGATTTTGCCAACGGCGGATAACGCGCGTCGCGCATGAATGTGCGTTTGGCTGGGCGGATGCACCACGTGGTAACCGTGGTCGGTATGTTACACGGTGCTGTAACAAACGCATCGCGTCGTGGCCGCGTCGTGTTATTTACGGATGTATCACAGCAGAGTACGGAATAATGGAAAAACGGCAAATTTGTCTGCGCTGCATTGAAAAGTGGCATCGAAAAGTTCAACGGTAATTCAGAGCCTGGATTAAAAGTCATTCCATTTTAAAGGAAGTTATAAGAGGTGAAATGAGTTTGACTCGATGTGAGAACCCGATGCAACTTGCACTGTATATATCGAACGTTAGCCGTGTCTATATTCTTTTCTCAAGAATACTTTCTTGGAAAATTTGCACGGGGCGGTTGCACAAAAACGCCTATAGATTAATTGCACGAAAATACCTGTGGAGGGGAGCAATGATTAAAAATGTCCAAACGCGATACGGACGACATCGCAAGATCTCACCGGAACATCAAACGATCGCCTCGCCGATCGGATGTCACGCTTGCAACCAGCGGACAACCGATATTCGCGCATCACGTGAGTTCGCTAATTACAAATAAATTGTATAAATAGCAGAAAAAGGGGGAGAAGGAGGCAGAGAGTGGCGCGCACGACACCGGGGTCGCGCGAAATCTCGTTAGCACCTGCACGCGGCCAATCTCCGCCGACGACACGTCGCTCCCGGCCAAGCCATTAGCGTCAAATCCGTAAAGCTTATCCGCGCACCCGGTGTACACGATGCGTAGGAGGCACGGGGGGGGGGGAGATCCTTGCCGGTCCCATTGCGAAGGAGAATGTGTGTCGTGAGCGAGCGGCCGCCGCAGGTCCCCTGTAAGGCGAGACGCAGGTACATATGGGCTCTCTCTTCGTTGAATGGGCCAAATGATATAAATTATTTATAGATTTCGACACCAGAGAGACAGAGGCCGGCCGGGAGGCTGCCTGCGAGTTGGGGTGCGCGGGACCCCCTAGGGGGCCCGCTCGCGCGCGCATCGGAAACCCCTCGGGGGCAGTCCTCAGCATATGCATTCTCGCTTCGACCGCCGTATAAGCCCCATATAAAATTGATTCCTAAGTACCCCGCATTCGTGTCGGCCTCCTCCCGCCTCGCCTCGTGTCTCTTAACACCTATATGTCGTCGGTCCTTGCTCTCGCCGATTCTCTCGCAAATAACGTCTCGGAAACCGCGCCGCCGGATCTCGGAAACTATCTCGGAACGCATGTTGAGGCGTGTTACAGAAGAAAAGAGGGCAGGAGATTTAAAGGGATTTGCAGATGATATAGATTATTTTATTGCGGTGAATGGCTTTTTATCCTGCATCGAAGCGATAGGTGATATTATAAGCAAGTCATTGCACTACGAAGTTACAATGCGATATTCAATACAAAATGGCCGAGAAGAAATTTGCCACTATCAAAGTACTCATGCAAGTAATAATACCGCTGTATATACTTAAATACTTAACGCAAAATTACATGGCATCATAGAACAGAAAGGATTACAATTTAGTGAAGTCGTTTGAGGAGCCATCGATGGGAGAATAATTCATAAGCTAGAACCTTTCGAGTCAGACGGGATTTTCAGTCTTTATTTTGTTTCATGAACAGTGTTATGAAAAATTGTATCTTGTCCTTTTCTTTACTTGTTATTAGAAATTACGAATAAATGAATCTTTAAAAACATTTCGGAGTGATTGTATTTACTCGAGAGCATAAGACCGTTCCAATATCAGTCATCGATAACGCAACATCAATGTTATAATTTCCCATTTAACAATGTTTTATTTAACAATTTTTATTTATAAATTGAACCGTTACATAACACACGCGTTGTATTCCCAGGTAACGCATGTTAATTTACACATACGTTCTTTAAACGTATGTAACGTTTCATAATCTAATATTACATACGTTTAAAGAACGTATATAAAAACTAACTATACTACCTAGGTTGCATTTTATATCGCTACTTTCTTTAATTTACATTGTTGAATGAAAATTCATAACCTCGATGTTGTATTACTGTTAGTTGGCGGTTTACTGGGATCGAAATTCTCGGCAATGTTTAATCGATTCACTCGCTGCTTAAATCTTACCGCTCGCGCTTTTTTCGCCGACTTCTGCCGGGGAGGATCGCCTTCGAGTTGCGCCGCTGCATCGAGAGTACTTTCGAGTTTCCGAGCATCGGTCTTGTAACAAATCGAAGAGGGCCCGTGATCGCGCGCAGCACGTCCCCTGGGGTCCAATCTAAATCAATGGGCTTGTGGGTAATCGCATAATAATTACGTAGGACCCCCTCTACCGCCCATCTGTCGCGACCGGCGGGGTGTTCAACCCTCGGAAGGAGCAGTAGGCACCATCACCACGGCGATACACCCGATGAACATGTCCCAGCAGGTCCCATTGTCGGTGGGCATCGCTCGGAATGTCGCGGAGAGCACCCCTCAATAGTCACCACTACTACTATTCCTCCCAAACTGCATTCGATCGCGGAAAGCAGCGCGGGATAAATGCGATTCGTCAACTGTGATATCGCACTTCAATCCTGAGCCCGCTAATTGAGCCGATCGTTCTCTCGCGCATTGAGATCGATGAGATATCGCGACACTGTCAGAGAGTTACGTGAAGATCTAGTATTGATAATTAATCGCAAATAAGAGACACAGACACACCGTATTTTTAAAACTGCCGAGCGGTTCGCCCGTCCGACAAAACAATATTTAACACGTGTATTTTCACAGGTCACAGTTGCCGGACGTTGCAATCCAACAGTCTCATTACAGCACTCTTATGAAACAATAAGATCCCTTTGCTTCTCTTTTTTTCTGTAGAAACGGAAAGTGAAATTTCATATCGTGTTGCAATTAGGCTGTTCGATCGCCAACTTATGTTATAAATTTTCAATTCCAACACAGTTCATATCTGTAAAAAGTGTCCTATTACATATTTCATGTGTTTATTAGCATGTTTAGCGTAATATAACAAACACAGAACACAGTTGTCTCCAGCAGGATAGCATTGCAATTCTTTTCAGATAGCAAAATGGGAGAGACACTCTTGATTGGTTTGTGGATCAGCCTGTTAATGGTATACGCAAATGGCATTCGTGGGCCGCATCATCCTAAAAGCACTGTGTCCCATCACCATTACACGCCGCAAAACGAAATCAAATTAACGCAAGATTCCGATCTTCTTCACGATGCCACGTGAGTGGTCGATGAAGCAATTAATAAAATAATTAATGAATTTAAAAGTATAACGTATAATTTATACAAATTTCTTATTATCAGACATTTGAAGGAAGACATGGGTCCTTTGGGCGATCAACTCGACTTTTCAAAGATGACCGAGCAGGAAATAGAGTTCCACTATTTTAAGTAGGTTTAAAAAATTTAAGTTACTTTATCACTCATTTTCAAAAAATGACACCGTGTCGATTCATAATACATTTGTAATTTCTAGAGTCCACGATGTCGACAATAATACAAAGCTAGACGGATTAGAGATTCTTCATGCTATACAACATACTTTCCACGAGAATAGACTCGCCGAAAATGATGATTTCAACGAAGACATGCAGGACTTGCCTTGGATCGTAGGTACGTTCGAAATCAATGATCGCATTAAGAAAAGATACAGACATATATTGCCGACACTATTTCTTCCACAAATGCGACAAAAATAATTTTAATAATTGCTCTAGAGCTGATTGACAGAGTGTTGGAAGAAGACGATGTGAATAACGATGGGTATTTGGAGTACGTTGAGTACGTGATGGGCAGGCAAAGGGATCATATCGCACAAGAGAAACGCGGCAAGCTCAGAATTGGAACGTGAACATTTCCATTTAGCTAAAGTACAAGTAAAACTTACTTTATATATATATGTATGTGTATATATATATGTGTATGTGTATATATATATGTGTGTGTGTATATATATATATATATATATATATGCATGTATTGTGTGTACGTACGCTCGCGTACACACATCATTGACTGGCGTAAAACATACATTAAGTACGTATGTATGTATTATATGCATTAATGTATGTATATGTACATACACATATCATTAAGGAACTTGAAGCTTATATGTCAAAAGAAGTTTTGTGTGATTTATTCACAGATATCTGTAATCTCTAAAATGTACATTTCTTATTTGCAAGCATGTACGAAAATATATTGTTTGTTGAATGTGCAAAAAAAAAAAAGAATTACGAATACTCGATGTATTCTTAGTCAATAGATGAATTCTGTGGTTCATTCTCTGTGGACCTGAGGGATTATATATGTCACTTTTAACGTTTCTTCTTAGTTATTAAACCTTTGTTACTCTTTTTCGTCATAATATTGCGTCGAGGATTGTCCATTATGAGAAGACCTTTCTCCCAAAGATCTTTCACTATTTGGATCTGTAAATTGTCGATTATATCAATCATGAAACATCATATGACACAACATTAACCCTAGAATATTAACGTACGTCTCCGAGATGTAGATATTTTTTATATTCTCCCCTCCCATCCCTCTTTCTTTTCCATCAATTTCTAATTCGATTTATATAAAAAAATTATATATATATATATATATATATATATATAAAGGCCCCAGTAAAATATTAGTATTCTAGGGTTAAGCATGAATTATCAGTGTTCCTTGCCTTATAGTCATCGTAGTCAATCGGCAAGTCGCTCACACGTATAAATCTAGGATAGCATCTTATTATTTCTCTAACGGCAGGAACAAATTCCTCGTCAACTTCTACGAACTGCAGTTCGTATTCGTGGTATTCTTTGGAGTTTTCAGTGGAGTAGTAAATCCGATATGCACCGTCCTCTTCTTTCACTAACCTAATAACAATAGCAACATTTGTATATATATCAGCTCGACTCGAACAATTTGCAGCTGTGTGCACTTTCGCGTTAAATAATGATACTCGAACAGGCTCTACCTTATACAATGCGATCTTATCAATCGTACCCTCGTATCGGGCTCGATCGGTGCGCAACGTCTGACAAATCCGTTGTCAGTCATAATATCGCCGTCTTGAGCCACCGAACATTCTTTTTCCTTAAGGCTGGGAACAGGCGGCAGGAAATCGTGGATGTGGCTCTTGGCCATCAGGTCGGCTGCGCTGTCTATGTCGATGTAGTTTATCAAAGAAGTGAGAAAAGCCTTGACCTTCGTCCCGAAGATTTCCCTGGCCTCCTCGTTGCTCGTGGTATGTGCAGTGCCGACGTATCTCAAATAATCCAAGGGCAGTCCTTCGCGAAACTTGTAGTTCTCCTCAGCCGCTCGCTTCAGGGTCAGCGGAAGTAGCTTCTCGAGAAAGTCGTACCAGCTGTTCTTCTGATAAACGCTCAACGTAATGTGCAAACTGTGAGCATCGTCAGCGGTTTCCGCTTGATGAATGGTCCCTCGCGGGAAGTACAGCAAATCCCCGGCCGTAAGGATCGTGTCCAGTATAGGTTCCCCGATTTCTGACTCGTCGAAGTTTCTAGAGGAGTACCTCGCCAGATAACTTTTATCAGGAGGTTTGTAAAGCCGCCACCTCTTCTTGCCTTCGACTTGCAACACGAACGCTTCTATATCGTCGTAATGAGGCGCGAAACCTTGACTACCGGGTGGTGTGAGGTACAAGTTGGAGCCGACGAAGCAGCCAAAGTATTCCTGAAGAATAGCTGTGAAAAATATTACACCATTATGCGATTAAATAATAACGTATAATTAATAAAAACTTGCGATACACAGAAAACGTGTGATTAAATTATGCTTTTACCATTCAACATGTATATATTCTGTATAAACGTTTGAGGATTCAACATTCTCACAGAACACTTGTTTATGTAATAATCCCAAACGGCATTAGCGACAGCACGACCAGTTGGATTGTGAGTTTCTCTCATTCCGTTGGTGTAAGAGGTGATATCGATATTTTTGGTGAAGAAGACATTCTTCTCCCTCAATACTTTATCCAATATAGATGTTGATACAATGTTTAAGTAATAAGAGGCTACATCCCTTTGTACATGCATTGGACGTTTCTCAAAGTAGTTTCTGATTAAAATGGAAAGAAGCGAATGAATAATATGTGAATAAAAAATATAGAAATATCTGGTCTCAGTATCTTCGACTTACTCAAGAAAGTCTTGTGCTTCCATAGGATGTATCAACCACTGAAACAAGTCCCTACTATCTTTAATAGGATCGGTATGATGCTTATTTTCCATGTTTCTGTCATCCTTTTCACCATTTAACAGGCGACTTTTCTGTCGCGTCTTGACATTTTTTGATACTTCTAGTATCCTTATCGGTAATTGTATTCCGCTCGATTTCTCTTTTTTATTTTTCTTCTTATTCCTCACAGTCCTTATCCTCTTGCTGACAATCCCTTTCTTGAGTTTCTTGAAGATATCTAAATCACCGTTAACTTGATTCTTCTTGGTAGTCATTTCTCCTGGTTGTCTTTTGGTCCTCTTTGCCTTGAGATTTTTGTCGGACAATGAAATTTCTCGCGATAAGTGTTGCTGTTTCACCTTTTTAGAACTATGTGGTGCTTGTTCCATCACTTGACGCTTATACACGGCATAAGCGGACATTACCTGCGACTCAGCCATCTGCAATGTTAAATCATAAAATTTTACACTGAACAAATAAATTAGATCCATGACAAATTCTTCTTGAATATCGAGTTAATAAAATAATTGAGAAATTGTCAAATAAGCCGGTAAAAGGAGGTTATAAGTGCTTACACTTCGGTTACATTGATACTGTTTCTACAGTTGTCAAAAATAATATATCTGAATAACATCTAGATATAAATAATTTATCTATGGAACTTCGCTTCTAATTAGAAAAAATGACAACATATAATAATGATACTTGTACCGACTTTTCCCGTAAGCTGACTTCACGTCTCGACACGTGGAGTGCACAAGGTTTGGACGCTTCAACTGAACTTTCTGCATCAGTGCAGGAAATAGTGTAGCAAGAGTAGCGCCAGTAGATTTCGATTCAAAATATATCATGCAGATCTTCCGGGCACTCGTTTTCAACGATCTACTTTTTTTTCTAACGTTACGTTCCACGGAGTGCAAAACTACTGTCATTTGTTCGCACACGTCATCGGAACTTTCGGCAAGAATTTTAATTTGTGCGAACGTTCGCGCACGCGCGCAATCTTTTCCGCTCTTCTTGTTTATTTACGTTAATATCGAGACAATTCGCACAATTTTATTGTTTCTCGTGTATTTTTGTTTTTATACTACAGTTTTGAAAAATCTATAAAATATTATATCCGAATGTTTATAGAATCCATAAGAAATCAATGCTTCGAAAGATTGTTTTAATGTTTCTTGCTTACTGGATATCTCTCAGACAGGTGAAAAGGAAGGCAAACAGGATACGTGTGTACAAAGAAAAAGGGGCACAATCCGATATTAAATTTTGTGACGTTTATTTGACATAGTAGTCTGAATTTTCTGAGTTCATTAAATCTAGACATTCATATAATAAACCTTATATGGCTAGGTTTCATCGTCTAAAAAATCTATACATAACTAATCGAAAGATCGAAATAAAGAAGATAACCCGTACGCCGAATTTATGCACTAAGTGTGGTCGACATGGAGCTGTTGCATTACATTAGACACACATAATGTTCGAGGGACTGAGACGGGGTCTTCGCTGACTTTCCTCCATTTCATTCATATCATATTTATAGCGTGATTGTTACTCAATGCGGGTGTAAATAATATGTATATGTATATATATATATATATATATATACGTACACAGTTATATACAACGAGAGCGTGTGTTGCTAAGAAAATCGTATGTACTTTGCTTCTCTCTTTTTTTCCTTTTTCTTTTTTTTATACACAAGGAATCTTTGAGCAATCCGGCCGTATATGTCGCGCCAAGATTACGGGTTACTTTTATTAGGTTATTTTACAGCTTCTTTTCTTAGCGCTTATTAGTAAAATGATTCACACCCCTTTGTTCCTCCTTCTTTCCCATCTTTGTTTCCTCTTTCTTTTACTTCCACAGATGCTCTTTTATTATAGTCGAGAATTTAGTGTTCTGTGTTCAATTATCCCGCTATTAATTAATACACTCCCAATTGACTAATGCGAGTTAATGTTATCGTAACATCCGCGGGATTTCTCGCTCGTCTTTGTTTTTCTTCTTCCCTTTTAACATATTTTACAAAAGTCTCTCTACTTAATATTATTCGAATTATTAATGGTATTATTGTGTCTGCCGTGTTAACTGGGAGTCTTGGTGTATTACATTTCACGAGTTAAGTTGAAGTTCAATTGTTCGCTTCGCGTCAACGCAAATTTGTCACGTCGACGATAACGTCAACGGAAAAAATTGCCGGAGAGTCGAATCAACTCCGATCAATCCGATACTGTACTCTCTTAGATTATGCTTACGATTATAATGCACGACAAAGATAAAGAATGTTATCAGCCGGAGTTAACGTTAATTTGGAGTTTGGAGTCCGACGTATCCGATATATATGTATATTATTTGCAATTCCTACCCTCTCCACTCTATTTTCTATATCGGTTGCTTCTTAGAAGCAACCGATAGTTGCTTGTTGCTTAGTTGCTTGTTAGATTAATGGTAAACATATCGGGCCGGCTGAAAAGTTCGATTCGATCTTCGAATTCAATTACAATTAAATGACATTAAAATTAATCCCTCTATTAATTATAAGCCAACTATCGTTTGCGAGAGAGAATGCGAATGCTGCCGAATGGAATAACGGCCGAAGGATCATAAATGACGATGGACGATCGCGCGATCAATGCACAATTGGTTTCCGCTGAATGTAATCGAGTGAAATTGAGACTCAAAAATCGAACCGAATTTCCCTAACCGATCCAAAATACACGCATGCACGCACACACGCACGCACATATCAGCAAGAAATCGATCATGTATCGAAACGTACATACATTTTCGGCGAGAATATTTCGTGTCCATTATTATTGATCATCGCTTTTGCGGCCCTATTCGGGACGCATATATATTGAGAGAAAAAAATATCTAAAAAAATAGGAAATATTTACTTGATAGGTATTAGTTACATATTTATTTAAATCTAAATGTTTTCACTTAAACAGAATAAACACACATACAATTGTTTTCATGAAAAGCTACAAATTTGAGAAAATATATATTTTCTCATTTGAACAAAATTCTGTTTATATTAGTATAAATAAATATGTTATTAGTACATTGAAAATTTTCTTACTTTTTTAGATATTTCTTCTCTCAGTATAGCGAACGTTAAATATACCACCCTCACTCCGAGTTCTACTTTTTTATATGAACGTCTCACGTCCAATATTGTTTCAAGTTTAAGGATCAAAAAGGCATATTTAACGCTCGTCGAAGCGCGCCATAAGCGATAGATACTCGTCAATCGGCACGAGACGGTCTCTCGATGTTCTGTCGTTCTAAAAATGTATGTGATCTCAAACAATACAAGAGTTCAAAAAGTTGAAAGACATGGTTTCGATATTTCTCAGCATCTTCCAGAATTTGTGGTCTCGCTTTTTATGTTTGTGTGGATAAATAAACGAGCTTTCTATTACAACGAGACTTGCGAAGAGAATATAAGTCGACAAATACAAATCGAGAGTATCTAGTATTGATCCTTAGTCACGAGTCGTTTGTGCATCATGGAGAAGGTGCGATAATAAACATCGATAAGAAATATTGATTGTTCGAAAATCACTTTAGTCCGAACATTCAAGTCGGACGTGTCGCGCGAAATTATTGACTCGACGTTAATTTATTGATCAATTTTCTAAACAGATTTTACAACAGAACCTCTCGATATATTATCTCGATTTTTGATCGCTGCGACCGAACGTTTTTAATTAACGCGTTTTTAATTAATTAATATTATATACGCGAATTAAATACGTCGATTTCTGTTTTCGATTTCTTTACAATTCTGTTGTCGATTTTTGTCTTCTTTTTCTTTACATGAGATTTTTATCCCACAAAATATCTACACAAGTAGAATGATACACAAGTGTCCCGTTAGTTTAATGTATCAACAGGGAGAATACGAATATCTCTGCGTAAGAAAAGATTGCAACAAGCCACTTTCGATATCATAACTTTACCGGTTATACGATACTTATGTGAAAGTTCTATGGTGACGTGGATACGTTTCGCGCGAGATCGATCGCGACTCTCTCTCTCTCTCTCTTTTTCGCATTTCCAAATCCGAAATTGTCAGCCGACTCGTCGCGCACGTAAACGTAGCTCACACCGTATAATTTCCTAAAAGGACGCTGACGAAATTTAGAGAGTAAAAAAAACATTTCTTTAAATTAGCGATGTAAAATTAGCGATTTTTCAAGCGATTGAACGACGGTACATTCATTAATAGTGAAACCACATCGCGTAGACGACGAGTCTCGCGCCACCGTGTGAAATCTTAAAAGCAACACGCCCGGTAACAAAGAACGGTAAGAGAGTGACGCAACGATTATCACAATTACAATTGAAAATGACACTGATTCCATTCAGAGCCTTATACACAACGATCGGATATGTGTGCGATGTGAAACTGATCAATCGAGGTGTCGCGCCGGCGAGTGTTATACACTTAACTTCCTGGATCACATTAATATGACGAAGAACTTTAAAATTATTCACGGTATCAATAAATTAAACAGCAAAAAAGGCAATTTTTCGCAAAAAACCGTTTTTCTTCCAGCGATTAAAAAACCGGTTTTAAATTTGATATATAATAGGTTTTGTGTTCTGATAAAATGGCTCGTTCGCCATTCATAAATACAGGGTGTCCTGCGCGCGCGCGCGAAATTAGACCGACAAACTTTGGGTGTTTATAAAAAAACATTACATCGAGTAGTTTTTGTCAATAAACCCATGAGCCGTTTTGGCACTAGAATGAATTATTTAACAACAGTTATGCGAAGTGTTGGCCATTTACCTCGATACACAGATATCGGCAAATTTTGCTTGGTTCTGATTCTTGTTACTGTCTTACTGATAAAAATCATTAATAATAATAGCTTTATCAAACCGAAGATTGTACGGAATTTTCAAGCAGATAGAATTAGTATCATCTGTTGTTGATTCGCCAGCTCAATATCACAGCGTTTCTTTATTGCTTATCCGAAATTCATTGTCAGAATAGAAATTTCTTCTTTTGATGGACTGTCCGATATGCATCTTATTCATAGGGCGGCTAGATGTAAACAGCTGACGTATCGAATAATTTACTCTGATACTAAAACGGCTCATTTGCGGATATGGGTTTGCGGACAAAAATTACTCGTTTTGGTGCCTTTTAAAAGCACTCGACGTTTGTCGGTCGTAACATTCTGTATATGTGTATACAAGATGAGCCTCTCACTCACACATATTCACGCACGCACGCACGCACACATACACACAGCAGAGCTTACTATCTAAAATAATTCGATGGAGATATTAATCCTATTAATATACATATTATTTAGACCATAGTTACCACAGTTTACAAGGTGCTTTCAAAGAGTACGTTTGGTCTGACCGATTCTTCCTTAGACGGTGGTGTGAAAGAGCTTCGAGCCGGAAAAGGCGAATATCCGGGGGAAAAGTCGCGAAAAGATACCAAGGGCTAAGTGTTCACTGGAGAATAATTGTTGGGAGCGAACTCTTTCGCCGAGATATTCCCTTCCGTCTTCAACAGCAACGCAGATACATCACGGATATACTAATGATGCTGTTTAATCGCTCCACACATCTATACACACGATTGTATGTCTATCTATGTATACAATANTATATATATATATATATATATATATATATATACAGATATATTGTAACCCTAATAACTAATAACTGCTTTACTTTAGTTTTCCTTTTTCCCCGGCATTTTTCGATATATAATAAGAGGCTCCAACAGATATAGTTAAGTTTATATACTTTCAGCGCGCCGTCGGTTCCTTAAATATGCATTTCTTGATGCGTTAGGAAACTCGCCGATTCATCCCTTAACAAGTATATCCTACATTTAGGGTCGAGTTTCTCATGTGAATTGCTTAATGAATTAATTGTTATCGCGCGCAAATGCGCCCCAACACGTACATAATAAGTCGGACTATGATCCTCTCTGTACGATAGCTGCGCTGCATACTCTCTCATTCACTCTCTCTTTCTCTCTCTCTCTTCCTCTCCTCTCTCTCTCTCTCTCTCTCTCTATTCAAGCTCTCGCTCGCTCACAATTCTTTTTTAGAATTTCATAAATCTCGCAGCCTCAATCTTATTGTTTGCACGAATGCGCGCGGACAAAGCGCCAGGCACTTGTAAGTACAGAAGTTTTAATTAGCGAATTACTAAAGGACTCTTGTCTTACCGGTGAATTTTTGAACTTCCTCAATATGTCGCTCTCTCTCTCCCTCTTCCCCCTTTTCCCTCTCTTTCTCACTCACTCACTCACTCTCTCTCTCTCTCTCTCTCTCCGCTTGTCTGTAGTATGTATTTGAAATCTTGTATACGCTAGTATTGTATCATAGTAGTATAGTACTATAGCGTAATATTCTGGACTGCAACGCATGAACTAGTTGAATCAGATAAACGTTAGTCCATCTTAATTTCAAGGTTCAATTGAGAAGTTTGGGTTCAACAGTAAGGTCCAACCGAACCTTTCTGGGAGATTTGGGATAATTGATTATAAATTCAATCTTAATCCCTTCTCTCAAAAAAATTGAAAGATTACCGTTTTTTACGATAATCCGCACGGATTTTTTTATCGGAGCGAAATATAATGTTCCCACTCTTGAAAAGTTGAGAAATGAAATTCAATTTCATTGTCTGAAAACTCGAAGAAAAGTCAAGTGGCTATTGCGCTAAACTCTTCGACCGATTTTCTCAGCTCTTCCTCTCCCTCCTTTCCTGTTTCTCTTTAATCTCCCCGAGACCGGTGTTTTTAACTAATACTCGTGAAAATAAGTGTGAAAAACTCCTTTATGAAACTCCCTCTTTCATTCCCCGTCGGTTTGGACTCGCAAAGGAGCGTCGGAACGTCACGCGATCCGCTGTTCGATTCCAAGGTTAAAATTGAAACACGTGTTAATCCACGACGTTCCGATGTTCCCTGATATTTACCGGTTCACGACCATTCACGCTCAAAAAAAAAAAAAGAGTCTGTATCAAATTTGATATACGCAAGATCGCGTCGCAGCAGTTGGCGCGCACGTTAGCAACGAGACAATCGCAATTTGCGCGAACTTATTACAAATCTTCGGATAAATAACGCATGAATATAAAAGTACGAGACATCGAATCCACTCTGGACAACATTTAATTACTCCTCTTCAATTAACCGAATTAAATTTTTAATTGGATCTAGTTGAAATATTTAATTCCCATATAATCGCAACGTCATTGTAAGACACTTCGTTCGTCCGACAGGATAAACTTTTAAGCGGGAACAATTGGAGCGTAATCGTGTCGAAATTAGCCGAGTGTATCTTCTCTCTCGTTCCACGTGACGTAACCACGGGTATTTTATAACCGAGATACATTGATTTGCATCAATGTCCGTAACGGAAACATAGAACGTATGTATGAGAAAAATAAGGCAAATAAAAGGAAAGCCAAGATTCGCGTGTTTCGATCGCAAAAAAACGAATCTTCGGCCAAAAAGAAATACATATAGAAGTATCACTCGGACCTAACTTCGACCACTTATAATACTCGCGTATACACACACACACACACACATACACATTTTCACATATATATTTTATTTGAGTATAACAAAAAAGAAGAGGGAATCGAAAAAACGCGTTTTCGATACACACGTCGATTCTGACTGTCGCTGTGTAATAACATATTCTAAAGTGAAATTTTTCGGTCGGTGGCCTAGGCTAACGTGGATTTCGTGGATTAACACACGCGATTGATATGGTTTGCAATGGAAATGCGAAACATCCGTCGATGTTGAAGTCTAACGAAAGGAATCCATTAATGCCCCATTGACGTTTTTTTCGACGGAACGGTGAGAGATACATCGCTCGCTCGATTTCCACCGTGCGAATCACTCGGGAAACGCAGCTACGTCTAGTTACTTCATTCGCAGAAATGAAGCATACATACCGATCCACAAAGTCGCTTAAATGTAAATACCCGTCGAACGACCGGTCGTTTCCTCTTCTCCTTCGCTTCAATGCTTCTCTTTAACGCTCGCTTTACTTTAATAACGCTAATTCGTGCCTACAGTGCTTTAGCGCTGAAGCACGCTCGAAGCACGAAAACGATCAGATCGACGAATCTCTCAAGTCGTCCCGACGAAATCGTGCTTCGAGCGTGTGACATCCTTTGGGAAGGAAGATTGGCATTTCGGGGGGGTGGGGGGTCTCGAGATCACTGACGAAGCGCGCGATATTGTCGAAATAACACGTTACGGGGAAGAGAGACAAGAGGGAAAGCGCGCGATCCCTCAGCTGAATGATCAAGGCTAAATAAATTCGCTGATTACGACGACGACAACGACGAGCTTCATTCTTGTCATTTCGTCGGCAGACAACCGACGGTCGAACTTAAGCCTATAAAGCGTTACTTTTACAACGGTGCTAGATCACTAATCAGAGTGGTTACTCCGATCTCAGCGATCGTTAGTCATCGTCACGTAAGGACACGACCAAGCAATCCCACGTTATCTCTCAACCAGGCTCACTCGTGACACTAACTCATTGGTCGGCACAGCATATAATATTCATGTAGAGACGCCCGGAAAAAGAAATGGTACAGACAACGTTAACCTACAGAGCCCTTAAATGCTACGTACTACGCAGTAAACCACGCAACCTCTGTATGTCACGTTAGCTATTTGCGAAACGCTATTGTGAAACGCTAATATTGATCGTTCGTCCGAGTTGGACGCTGACTCTCTTAAAGCTGACACTTCGAAATCTAATTCGGACTTCGCGAGCGTGACGCGTTGCACGCGGCTTAATAAGTGGTAGCAAACTTACAATAAAGTCAATCCTTGTCCGCACGTTCACGAGAAAGGTCGTACATTCCTGTCGTTATAAAGTACCTTTTCGGTTTTATTCTACCGATAAATCGGGTCGCGCAAATTCGAAAGGACCGCACAGTATCTTCTACCTTCGACTCGCGCATCACCTGTTTTATTCGCCGGTTGTTGACTGTCGTAAATATTCGCGTGCAAATGGTAAGAAAAAGGTATTTATCAGAGCGATTTATTCGGCAGATTTTCACGCTCACTCGACGCGACTCGTTATTTTCGCGCTGCGAACGATATAGCGGAACTGTATTGATTCGTTTTAGTAACTAAAACTTCACCTTGTCCCTCCTCTCAATCTTCAAAGCTCACCGACACGGGTAATGGGAACATTTCTTGATTTAGCAATATTATCGGCAATATGTGTGATCGTTCTGTCCTATTTCCCTATCAATTTCAAAAAGCAAAAGCTTAATACACGCATGTACCATTCGTATGAGGGAAAACAAAGTGGATGTAAATTCGCAAATTTGTATTAGTAATAACAAAACGTAATATAAATGTGCACGATTGCGAAAATAACATTGTAGAGAATCAATGGCGTTAATGACAATTTTGAACGAGAAAACCCGTAATTCTGTTCGACCGTTGCTTGTTGCTTCCGATTATACGGCGACGCCGAAAGTAGAAGTACGCATTCGTCCTTTCGAGATAAAATAACTTACTATCAGTAAAAGTTAATAATGTTGCGCGCGCGCATGTATGTGTATGTGTGTATATATTTATACATATATATCTATAAGTCGTAAAGCTCTGTAAAATACGGTTCTGCAAAATCGGGCATTTAAGTTCACCAGTTCACTAGGTTCAGTAGGAGGGTATTGTTTATAATATGTGTTATTCGGATAGATCCGCGTTAGCGAACGCGATTGGGCGACTCTCTGTATTACGTGCATTTCAACATTTCAACTTAAAAACGTACGCATATGTATATATGTGTGTGTATGTGTGTGTACGAATGTATATGCGAATGTGAATGTGTATTTATATATAGGTATACAAATATAAATTATTTTTCTTATATTAAATATTACGCGACACGAAGTTAACTATTTAATTTACAGCTCTTCACTTTTACTATATTTCACTTCTTACTATAGTGCACTTCTGTTCCTGATAATTACTTCCTTTATACTGAGTTACTCGCTTTATACTGAATTACTTCCTTTATACATCGTCTATAGTAAAATCGTCATTAATTATAAATGCCGTCGCCTGACAAAGTTCGCATAATTCTTTTTTTGGCGTCGCAACGCTCCTCCACTTTAAAAGAGCGCGTCAGATATAAATACACAATATCTAAAACGTGCGAGTTTTTTTCTAATACCGGGCACATACATCGCAATTTTTAACGGGCTTCATACACAGCAATTTTTAACACATTTCTCCGTATATTAATCACCGAAACGTAAATCCTGTTGCCTTTATCGTGTGTGATCACGTAGAACTTAAAAAAAAAAAAATATCTAGAAACAAGGAAACAAATTATCAAAAAGGTTTCAACGTATACATGTTATAATCGAAGACACGCGGTTTCTCTTGATTGTAGGTTTCTCGGCAAATCTACGACCTGTTGGTATTTTCTTAACGAATATTTCACGAAAGACTCGATTATGAAATTATATTATTCCGACGAGGCTTAATCTTAATACATAGCGTAGCAATGTGTTAAGCTATGAGAAGGTCAAAACTTTCCACGGCCTTTGATAAAATATTCGCGTAGAAGATTCAAACGCTACGGTTACGTGTCGAGCAATCTACGACCAAGAGAAAGAAGAGCGCAACGAATTGAAGTAGCCTTGCATAGTAATACGTTCTTATGTTCTTAGTCGCAAAACGAGGTAAGCGAAATGCGTGATTCCTCGTCTCATTTTGGTATTCATTCCCGCCAATTATACATTATTCTAGCTGCTTATTTCACCTCAAAAGGCAAATCGCCTTATAATAATCAAGAATTTTTGCCTTAATCACGATTTTGCCTTAGCAAGATAACGCAGGATAAGGACAGCGCGACAGGTGAGCATCTCCACAAATATCGATGACAGATACACTGAATGTCGAGAATCATCATCGATGTCGAGGAAAAAAAAAAAACAGCTGTATTTAAGGAAAAATGCAGTTGTGCATTACTTACTCGTACAAAGAACAGGTACATCAATTGATTCTTGTCGTCCGAGAGCAAAAGTACAAAAGCAAGGCTGACAAAAGGCGAATATTTGACGAGATATTGTGTTTTATGTCAGAATATCTGTAAATATGAAATATTTCGCCAAGTGTCCACTTCGTGCTCTTACACGCACGTCAACGGAGAATCTATCTCTCTCTCCGTGTAAAGAAAAATATATCACATATTACGTTTAAAAAAGAAAAGAAATAATTGGTCGCTTTAGAGTTTCCTTGACACACGTAGTTTTACATGAAGATACAAGCAAGTACGGAAAATAATCCGGCGATGATCTGTTTCAATTCGTTATCAATGCTTCTGGAAATACTCATCTATCGCGTTTTAACGCACTTTATACTGCGCATATGTATATATATATACGTATATATGTATATATATACACACACACATGTATATATGTATGTATATATACACACACATGTATATGTTGTATATGAATATTATTTTTATAGATCTGTATGGCCTCATTAGCGGAGCACTGAATGATTTATAATTTACTAATACGTATATACTAATATGTAAACTTGTTCTCGCGCACTAGGACATCTGGTACAACTTCAACAACGCGAATAATATCGAATAAGAGCTAATTAACGGCGAATAATCGTCTTTCCTTCACTCCCTTTCTCTTTTGTTTTCTTTCTCACTACATCAGGCCTGCGGCCGGTTGCGCTTTTCCATGTGGTTTGTTATTTATAGCTGCATACTGCTGAACTGCTGAATGCAATAAGTTGAAGTGAGACAAGTATACGTTTTCTCACTTCAACTTATCGCGCCAATTCAGCAGTGGTATCTATAAAGAACAGATCAATGATTACCGCCGACTGCCATCCCCACTCCTCTCGGAGACGCAAGGGATGGTGTCAGCTTGAAATCGTACGGAGTTTGGCGAATGTCGGCCCACTCGCTGCTCAATGTTTAATACCCTCCCTGAGATCGAGCGTCTTACGTCTCCAAGAGGAGTCTAAATGCTATAAAAGGAGAGGAGTGAGGATGGCAGTTAGCGATAACCATGGAAAAATGCAAACCGGCCGCAGGCCTGCGCTACATTATACCTACGGTTTCGCGTACATCTCTTACACATGTATTCGGTTCATGTATGTTCGGATTTTTTGGCGCCAGTCTAGACTCGCTACATCGTTCACTAATTCCTCTTACCGCTATATTGTCGCGAACAGTTATGTTGTTCAATTCCGATTACAGCCAAGCTATTACAACGTGAATGCTCGCTCGATCGCGCCGATGTCGAAAGTTGAAAGCCTTACTTAATTTGCACTCCATTTTTATTCATAAACGTCACTTCCGATACCTTCCCAAGGTGATAACTTGTAAGTAGCCACCAGTCCGCACAGAGTGTACAGACTTAAATTTATATATACAACTAGAATAAATATATTAAAGGTAGTTCGAGTCCTCTTTACTTTCGGAGATAATATTAACATTATTATATATATGCATCACTTGTAAGCCTAAAACATTAGAATCATTAATACAATCGAGAGGAAGTATTTTTGTCAACTTCTCGCGTAAGTGTTTGGATAGTCGTCGGTTATAGTCATCGATTATAGTTATCAGCAACATGGTATTCCCGAGAATTCTCTCCGGGTAAGCACATCTTTTACTAATACTGATCTACGAAATCGTTAAAATCATGATTGCAACGAAGAAAAGTCCCACCTAAACTCACCCGTGTTCATCATACAAGAATCTTAGTATATTAATGATTCTAATAATAATAATAATAATAATAATAATAATAGCAAAGACGGTCGTCGTAATCGGTCGTTACGCCATGATCAGTAATTAATATCGATAATTAATACCGATAGTAATTATATGCTACGTTCTATCTAGAAAAACTGATTTCATCATTATACAGTCAGAGATGCTTGCAAGGCTCGTAAATTTCGGTATACTGTAATGCTACTTGTCAATGTCATTATTACATAGAGGATTGTGGTGAGAGATTTGTTTGATTGAAGCATCGGATTCGTTAGAACACGTTATATATATGTATATATTATGTATATAGAGTAAAAATACGAGAACTTTAAAATTTTCCTTCGCATGCGTCGAATAAAACATAGCTTATTCTATGTTACATTTTATGTTCCACATTATTCGTTACCATATTTGATATTGATTCATATATCTCTCACTTGTCCAGGTTTCGTTCTATTTATGTATGTTAGTAGGTATTGTAGGCGTGGAGGTTTGCATTACATTCCAGGTCATTGCATTGAGGTTCACTGCATTAAGGGCCCTTGACATCAGCCCAGATCTAATGCCATGTAAATTTCATTTACGTTCTCATAATTATCTCTCGTTTAAACAGACAACGCTCCGATCGTCTCACACCGAAATCGGACACCTTTTTTTTTTTCACTTTACTTTCATTCTCGATACTCCCGCTCATTTTAACACAGATAAGTTTTAATACATGCTATGCTATGCTAATATGAGCATCATTAATAGTCGACATAAGCGTAGATGAAGAGCTGTGTGCAAAGTGTACAATACGATAACGCGCAATAAGAAACTAAAGTGAGTAGAATAAAATGTACATCCTAACCCCCAGACGGGGGGAGGGCGGGCATAAAAGTGGCGAGGGAGAGGCGGAGTGCGGTATATTAAATTATATTAAAAAAAAAAAAAATTATATTGAGAGCGCTTAATTCGCATTAAAACCTCAATATTTTCCACAGTTTAAGGCTACGGAATTATAATTCACAGATAGCGACAATGTTCTCTTTCTCTTTCTCTCTTTCTTCACCTCTATCTTTCTATATATATACATATATATGTGTGTATATATATAACGCTTTTCAATTTTTTACATTTACTAATATATGGGTCTCTTTCTCTCCGTACAAAGTTACGTCCCTTCTTACTCACTATCCGCTGCTTACTTCAAAGTGTACGCATGAATTGGTGTTGTTACGTGGGTCCTTCGCAGGATATAACTTCAGGATTGCCTCCAAATGACATTAGATTTAGACTGATTAAAAGTGCGTTGTATAAAAGATAAACGGCATTATAGTGCAGCAGAGCAGTGTGGCACGACGTGATTCTCGTGATTCACTTTCTCGGGTCTAGAAGAAGGCATCACGTTGACAGTTGTTATTATGAGTCAAATTAATGAATAGGGTTCGATCACTTCGATTTACTCTAACAGATCCCTAACTTACTTTGGCCAAGGGCTTGTATTTGTTGGCATTTTATAGCATTTACAGCTTATTTCGGCTCATTCGCGTCCTACTCGTCGACAATTTGCAGCTTGACGTGGTCGACCTTTCCTATTTTTTTTTCTATTTCTTTCTTCCTCTCCATCGATAAAATTCTACTCATGAATTTACATATAGATGATGTAAATATTCAGCAGTAAATCTAGTTACCACATACACATACGTCACGAGCACTATCTCGGCATAGTACACAGTCGGAAATATTTTCAAGTATGACGATTGTTTTATGCCAATCTACACAGCATAATTGGAGATCTAAAACTTACAGAATGTAAATTATCTCGTTCGAGAAACGATAACTATACACATGCAACAAGATATAACAGCCTCGCGAATAGCGATTCATATATATATGCATATATATAAAAATATATATATATATAAATACATATATATATATATATATTATTGTTGTTGTTCTGACTTCATGTTCTGATGAGTTCGTGTAAAAACCGCGTCCGGTCTTTCCTGCATTTGTGCACAAATGCCAGGAGAAATTAATTTCCTTACTAAAATGAAAGGAAAAAAAATAAGCGTAATAATATGCGCATTGCAGCTGATTTCACCTTGTGTGTCTTTTAGTCTAACATAGTCAAAGTCTGCTAGTACCTTCCGCATTAGTTCGACTACAAGACCGACGACTTTCCACCGGTCAAGCTGCAAAACGTCCTTAACCTAATCTAAAAGAAATACGTTTAACTTAAAAGCACCTCTCGTAAAAACTCGATCTGTACATTACACAATGTTCGTAATCTTTATCGAAAACTCGCCGTTGCGCCTACATGCGCGATTAAAAACGAGTGCGTGTGCACACAATTCGATCCGATAAACTGTCACACGGACTCCTTGCGACTTTAAAACAGAAAGGTTAAAAAAAGGGAGGGGGGGAGAGAAAAAAAGAAAGAAGAAAAATGGAAGATAGGAAAGAAAAGAAAGTACACAAGAAAACTGACCACTCGAGAGAATTGCCCTAACCGTTAATAACCGTTAATAGTCTAGAGATGACACACTTTGTAACGCGACGCGCTACGATCGCGCGCGCGGCTGCCACTGGATCCGCGCTGCCCGATGAAGTTCCCCGGCGAGCTCCGTCACTGAGCCACCGTTGCGGTGCGTCGAGGCTCTTCTCTCGCGTTGAAGACCGACCGGCATCCGTAAGGGTGGCTCGACTCGTAAAGAAAACGGAATTATGCGAAATACATAACTCGTTTTGTGTCGGCATGAACCGTGATCGCCCGTGCCATCGCGCCGGGCGTCCTGTCCTCGCTGCAGCCCGACTGATGAGATCCTTCCCCACTGTAAGAAAAATTCGTAAAATTAGATAAGATCGACACAGTGCGCTGCGTTTACATCGATCGTTTGATACACGTACACAGAGAGAAAGGTTTCTTTGGATTTAGTACACGTATTTGATTTGGGTGGGTTTTAATAATACAATTAATAATAACAACACAATTTAATATCAGTATCATTTTGTTTGAATATGAGAATATGAGTATGAGAATACAAAAGAAATATGCTATTTGACATAAAGACATTCATTATTTGAACAACCAAACAATCCTATTTGTTGAATCAAACATTCGTTTGTTCGCTCTGTTCGAAAACACTAAATTTGCTTCAATCAAAGAAATATTACTAAATCCAAAATCTTTTTCTCTATGTATCAAGTATAGAAAATTTCTATTAAATTATTTAAATATTAACGATGTATATAAACGACGATACATCTGTTAAATGATCGGTGTAAACAAATCTCCAGGTCGATACGAAAGGAACCGAGGACTGTGGCACGCATAAAAACAAGTAGCAAAACTTGGGCAAAATAAGCGCGAATCGATCGATCGCATTCGAGAATTCCAACGTGACACTGATGTTTTTGTTCATCCTCGGATATGATTGCATTCTGCTCGAGTTTTTCTATGTATCATCCGTTTAAACAGACATTAGTCTGCAAGATACCATCGCGCGATCTACCACGCGTTACACTTGGTCTGTTCTTTTTAGCTGCATTGCTGAACTGGTGCAATAAATAAATTAAACCGAGACAAAATATACTTCTCACTCTAACTTACTGCAGTTCAGCAATGTAGCTGAAAAGAACAGACCAACCTGTCGCGATACGATACAAATACAGAGCGGTAATGATGGACGCGATAACTCACCTGTCGTGCTCTTTCTCGACCAAGTGATACCTGGCCCGGAATGCTACTAGATGAGCGTAATACGCCGGTGCTGGTATACTGACGGATCTTGTGCATCTGACGTAAGTGTGACACAGTTGATACGTGAGACACTGTAACTCGTCACTCTCGAAATGATTATCGTCCCAAAGAACATGATAGTGAGACGGTCTCGATGTACCCTGTTAAAGGATCAGACAAATAAGAGGATGTCTCGTACGGTTCGACCGAGCCTGATCGAGCATGTTCTCGAAGAGAACGATGTGAGTATACTCACCTGGATACCCTGATGGCTGCAGAGATAAAAGTCGAATTCCGTCGGATGAGTTATACACACGTCGACGGTCGTGCCCGCCGGGATATTACCGCTCTTGCCGCTCTGTTCTTTCTTATCCGCGCAGAACAGGCGTGTGTGATGCCTCTTCTGCACCACGATGAACGTTATGCCGGGTCTGTAGTCAGCCTCGAGTTTGATACATGCCTCACGAATGGCAGTTAATTCATGTTGTAGTACGTGAAGGAATTGACCCTCGGAGACACCGTCACGATATAAAATTATCCTATGTGGCTTGTATCCACCTGTACTCTTGTAGAACATTACAAGCAATTCCCTTGAAGAAAAAAAGAGAAGAAAAACGTCGTTACTTGATACACTCTTAAACTCAGTATAAAAGGAAGAAAAATGAGCTGACATATCAAATAAAATAGGACAATGTTCGTCAGTGATATCCTTTAATGAGGTGACCGACAATATTATTTTTAATTGTCTCAATAACTACGCATTATCGGGAAATGGTTGTAGTATGGAAGTCACATTTATCCGTGTCACAATTAACCTGACTTATCGCTTAAAGATAACTACATGTGTCACTGTTACAGAGAGAAAGAGAGATTCATCGAACGTTTCGGTCGGTATTTGGTGGATTGCGACGTAACTGGGAATATTTACCTAACCATCGAACTGAGTTCCTGGATAATCTCTTGTCTATGCTGTTGAACTCTAACGGTCGCTGCATATCGAGATGGGTGAGCGTCCATGCTACCCACCACAGCGGCTATGCTAGGTTTTTTGTTGTCGCCCGCCGGAGGGTGGGTCACGTCAGCCCCAAGAAATATAACAGGTTCGTTAAACACTTTCGGTCTTATACTAGGTACTAAAATGCTATTGATGCCTCCTAATTTCACATTTATTTTGAGACAGAGATTGGATAACGTCTGCGGTGAGGTTTTGTTGACATTTTTCGCCTGCACGCATTGAGTTGCCATACCCAACAATGTATCCCCCACTCTTTTCACTTCGGCTGAAAAAGAAAAGTTTATTTGTTTCAGGAGCACTTGCTCATTCGCAAAATATAACGAATTTCTCTTTAAGGCTTCTCTATGTTTGCTTATAGGGATCGATTCCACCTGTCATTCTACGTACAAAAGTGGTAAGATGATGTTACTGAAAAATGAACACTTTGTGAAATATTTAACATCTTCTTGTATTGAAAAGTATCAGAATAAAAGAATAAAATATCTTGAAAAGATATAGAATAAAAGAATAAAATATCTTGAAATCATATTCATTTTCTTACATCCTAGTACTTTTATACGCAGAATAAACAGAAGAATCGATTGTTGTAATATTATTACACGATTTATGGAAAAAAAAACTATGTGATCTCATTAAGGCTCCTGGTCCCTCGCTACAACTGTCCTTGTTTGATGACGTCAGATGCGAGAAAACGCACGTCAAAAATTCTTGATTCATGCGTTTTCTCAGACGTCATCAAACAAGAACAGTTGCAGTGGCTACCCAGGAGCCTTAAAAAAAAAAAAACATAAAGTTAATCTTGAAATGACCTTGAATTATTGGCTATACAACGAAATCAAGGCCACTAATTTACGTTCCTCTTGATATCCTATAACTCATATCTGAAACGTTTTTCCGAATCTTCCATATTTTTCGATATTTGTCTTGAGTAATTAGAATGGGACACTCTATATATATATATATATATATATGGGGGGGACACCCTATATATATATATATATATATATTCACGCGTTATATGTTACATAATTACCATATACAGGAGTTTTGCCTGGTAGTACAACGCAAACTAGCTGCAGCGCTTGGAAAGTTGATTTCAAATATCTGAACATGGGTTCGACTTGATCCGGTCCGGTGGCGTATTTACAAAAGCACGGCTGCCCGATGATGGGCATACCCGCATCATTGCTGATTTTCTGAAGTTGCGTCGTAAATGAACGCAGCGCGTCCTCGCGCACCGTTCTCTGCGGCGCAAAGCAAGCGATCGCCCACACTCTGATCTCTACCCCCGTGAAAAATTGCTTTCCACGCATATCCCACACGCCCTGATTAGGCATCGCTTGCTGCTTCGTCTTTGGGGGGAAAAGATACACATTACTTCGAGCGTTCGAACGAATACGCATTTATCGCGGCGGATGCTTCAGTGTTTCCACACGCATACATATTCCTCTCTTTACTTTTTTTTCTTTTATCGGCGATATATAACGCAACTCGTTGAATAGGCGACAACAAACAAATGGGGAGGTAACGTGAGATCACGCAAATCTGTGCAAAGTGGTGCGGATAATTTATAGAGATAATCGAGAATCATCGCTATGCTGCATGGAACGAATACTGATAGCATCGAACTTTCGCAGGTGATATCGGACTGCAAATGTAACATCTAGTTACATTTGTAAACCGTAACTACGATTCCGTTCAACTATACTAATATTCCAGAATAGCTGTATTCTTCACATTTATCGCCTATAATTTACCTCACAACGACCGGCGTTTGTGTATGCGTTACCGTAACAAGTTACTCGTTACACTAGCAGCCCAGATATCAAATCAACCAGGTCTAGAACCTATGCATTCATTTGACAACTTTTGGCCATGTATTTCGAGGTATAATTTCGTCACTAAAACTACGCATCGACGATAATCATCACTGTGACATACAAACAAGTTACGTTATGGAATGCGAATCTTGCTTCTACACAAGAATATGTAAGAAAAGATGAATTTGATCGCAACCCCTTTCCGCTGGAAAAACTGAACCCATCTTCCCAAATTTTAACCCCTGATCTCACTATAATCATAGTCAAATCTTATATTTAAGACGACCTTAAATATAAAATCTGACAATACTGGCCTAAGATAATGGCGAGAAAATGAAAGGATTGCGGCAACGAGAAACGAATCGTGTATCCTGAAAATTGAGAGGTACGTAGAAACGCAAACTCCAGCGGGAAAGGGTTGGATAAAACGAAATCGGGGACAGCGACTAGCGCAAAAACTGGTATCTTTCGCCAGCTAGAATATAGCGTCAACTTGCAGAGAGAGAGAGAGAGAGAGAGAGAGAGAATAGAGAGGAAAAGAGAGAACATAGAAGATAGAATAAACGATCTGCCAAGGGAAACCGGTCGCTGACGCTACGGGAGAAAAAAAAAGGAAAAGCTGATATCTACTAAAATCAAGAAAATCATCAGCAAATGTTTGATTCAGCTAGACCTGACTGATTCAGTTGGAAGTTTCTCACCTGTCCACTGAGGGAACTTACGCGCCCTCCGTACTGCAGTTTGGGCGGAGGTAAGACACGACCCCTGACTTCCATCATATTATTCGATATAGTCAGCCCAAATTCTTGTACGTAAGAGTCATTGTTAAAATCGGCCCTCCTAACCAGATTGTTAATCTCCCGTTCACGATCCGGCGCGGAACGTGCCGTTGCCTTGATCATAGTCGAGGTCTGCATGTCGGTCAACTTCTTAATGCAGCGTTGTCCGGCAACGATATTGCAAACCTTTACAGCAAAGGAGGAAATTTTTTTATATCTAATTGTCCAATAATTCTGGTTATATTTCTTAATTATCTAATAATTCTTCGCACGAGAAAGGAACATCAAGACTTCTACCACAACGTGGTTTAGAAAGTTAAAGTGACATTCAGTTGATCTAAATTTACCAAAATATTGATTCCCGTCGATGATTTGCTCAAGATTAAACATACTTAAGTTGAATTTTGGACTCGGTTGTCACTCGAGAGATTAACTTTCTTCAACCACGCTGGTAGAGACGGGCGTTGGAGATGAGATTTTGCGCGACATACCTCGAGCGGCAGATACGTGTGTTTGTGTTCTTGACCAACTTGCAAGCAAGGAAGATGTGGGAAGCGCAACTTCATTTTGTATTTGTCTAAGAAGTATTTGGCAACCGTACACTCGACTGTCTGCCCGTTTTCCAGCTGCAGCGGAAATCTGCGATCAATCGAAACAAGAAGCAAGTCTGTGAGTACCTCCGGTAGTGTTTCCAGTATCAATGGATACTTTATCGTTCCTGAGATGTACTTACGATTGCATTTGGGCTGGCTTACGTGTAACATTGCACACTCTGTACTTTCGCTTCATAGCTCCGCAGTGAGTTATCTCGATCTTGAGACCCTTTATTTCTTTGGTAAATTTTACTCGCTGAGAATCGGTCAATGGCTTCCTCTGCTCGTTGATATCTCGGATATCCAACACCTCGCACATAAACTCTATGACCGGCTGTGCTTTGTAGAAGGCAGTGGCAGAAACTGGATGTACAACACGCGGACAGATCAGTGACGAGAGTTCGCAAGATACGAGCCAAGTGTCGGGAGAATTTCTCTATTCGCTTACCGTCGATATTTAACATCATCTTCCATTGCGACGGTCTCACCGACTGATGGAATCCGAACCATACCTCTCTGCCCCCGCCTAACGGATGATAGTACCCATCCGGAGTGCTGAAGAACGATCTACCTACTGGAGTGTATGTCATAGATGGTAAATGCCTCATTACAACGTCTAAAGCGAGAATAGCGTCATACGGAATTTGTCTAGTTCGTCCTTCTAGAGCCTCTTCTAAAGCAAATAATGAAACCTGCGCCAACCACTTGATAACCACTCTGAAAACTCGGTCTTTACCCTCACCAGGCAGTGTAACCTAAAAAGAGAGAGAGAAAAAAGAAAGAATACAATAATCACGGTGGCTATGGTGAATCGTGCGATATTCGAAGTCTCACGGCTACGAGGGAGAAAGTTAACTCACCTCTAATTCTAATTTATCACTACCGATGGGCAAGGGGTCCCTTGTGTACAAGTTATTTCTGCCGTCAAACACAGGCTTGAGAGTTCCGAATATTTTAGTATACGCATGAACCATAGTCTCTATGATTTCTCTATTAACTTTCCGAGGGCATTTGTCAGGTTGTATATTAATGTCGTAGTGATGTACGTAGCCACGCGGCATAGTAATTTGGAAGTGATTGGCTCTCAGACCAATCGGTCTACCTTCTCGCCCTATATTTGGTCTCCGAGGGCATGTAAACGCTACGAAGAATAACTTGTGTAAGGATGAGGTATTCGTTATTTCATCTTTGACGTATAACGTAAGGTTAGTGGGTATATCATTCGCACAGTGGCAACGTATACTCGACTACTTACTTGGCAGTTCTGATGCTTGAGGAGGATGTGGCTGTTGTGCGGGTACAAGCCCCATAGAACTAGGAGCTGCGACACTGCTAGCAGCTGCTCCAGCTGCCCCAACAGAACCACCGCTCGTTGACGGCCCAGGTGGGGGAGCTGCAAAAATACAAAATGATGTAAAACACTTGCTGAATGTTGATAAAGAGATATCAGTTTTGTGCATGTATACATACGTTCATGTAAAAAATCGAAAACAATATCATTTGGCACAATATACACCCCAAATCTCCTCACCTTTCATCTTTTTTTTTTCTTTAAGTTTATCGTGATTAGATTATCCTTCTAATATGGCAAGCATAATATTATATCTATGCGCAATAATATTATCGATATAAAATATACATTCAAAGTAATTACTCAATGCGTGGAATATTTAATGCTCAAGGAACTATCTCAAGCAGAAGCTAAATATAACAGATTACAGTATCTGTATATTCCTCTTTTTACTTCTTTTTTTAACACGTAATGTCAGTGATCACAATTGAATGCAGAAAAACGTATATACACATTTAACAAAATGATTATAAAACAAATTGAAATTAACAGAATAAATTGTATGACCTTCAACACTGTCATGAGTATCACGCAAAGTGATATGTGCGCTCATGTGTAAAGTTATTAACGAGAAATATTGTTTCATAGAATATTTGAAATAGCAACATTGCAGAAATTCAAAATCTCTTTAATGAATATTTTGACTGAATTATTTCCGTTAAATATTTCTGGATATAATATGCACAGAGTATATTCTCCGTCGATATTGTGTAACTAGCTTTGTGTGATAAACAGTTATTTAACATATATACAATTTATTACTCCTATGTTGTTAAAACATAACATTAATTCATCAGTATGTTGCTTGCAAATTATGAACACACATGAGCCTTTGTACAATTCAACCATACAAATTCACACAAATAACATAATTTTTCTATCTTGAACAAACGATACTTTCTTCTTTAAATTTCAAGCCCAGGAAAAACTAATGCGATTTACAAATCCCCATTTTACACAAAATATCAAAACTAATAGTAACAGAATCGTACTCGAGAGAGCAATTTTTACTTATTCTCACTACTAAACGTTGGGTTAAATCATATTGGTTTTTACCCACGGCACAAAGTTTGACGGTTGACGTTTACACAACTGTTTCAGATAAATATATTTCCTAACTCAAGACAGTCTCTTCCTAATGAGTCTTGTGACTCGCATAGATCGTGATTTGAATACCTGGCTATGCCTCAACAGTTAACACCTACTTAGTCTAAAACTGAACGTTAATTCCCTATCTACAAAGTGAATTGTGATTGGATTTAAATGATGCTTGGAAGAGAAGGACGAAGGGCACGATGAATTGATCGAATAACCTGAAGGCAGCATAGCTCAGTCTTGAGTCTTTTCAGGTATCACATTGGTGGCCAGCCAGCCTAGATTAAGCCTACCTTCCCGTCCCCGCGCGTCTCATAGATAAAAAAAAAAGCGTGTAATCTGGCGAGAGATAACAAGTCGTTAGATCAGGATTAGCTAATTCGGTGGGGCTCGTCAACGCGATTCAAGCCGAGATGTCTAACGGATCGCAGGCGAGTGACGACACGCGCGCCTGTTGAGCGAGGTTCATCCGAGGTCATTTAACGAGTCATTTTTTCCGCGAAGGCGTCGCGATGGGTTCCCGGAAGCGGACGGACTTGTCCGCGGACAGGCAATGAAGGGCCAGGAAGCGTTCGAGGGACGCTGCGACCGCGCGCTGAGGAAGTCTGTTCACTGGCTCGCGTACGCTCGTTCCTCGTCAGCGGACTTCAGCGGGGACTTGTTTACAGGGTCTTCGCGGCCGTCCCGATCGGGTACGCCGACACCGGGGTACTCACGTTGTCCTGCGGGATACATTGTCGCGACCGCCGGACGAATAAGACCAGATAACCACTAATAAATAAGTAAAAAATTTAACACAAGACCCACTGGCCGCACTACACGCTTCCCCACAACACACACTGCGAACGACACCAAACCGAGACTACTGCCCTTCGCAATGGCGTCCGCTAGCGCGGCGCCCATTGGCCGCGACGCGGCCAATGGGCGCGCGAGTGGCGCTTGCGAATTTTTCGCGCCACCAGTTACAATCGTGTCGCCCGTCGCTTATTACGCGGGGATGCGACGGAATTCGAAAACCATGCGAGAATAATTCGACGGCGACACATGAGACGCGCACATTGGTCCTTCGCCAATGTACTTTGTCACGTTCCGACGTTTTTCGTTCTTCGTCCATTCTTTCGCGATCTCCGACAATACGCGCTCGACTCTTTTCCCTCCTGTAAAACGCCTCTTCGCGAAGCGAAACGCGCATGTTCGTTGACGACAACGCTGCGCAGGCCGCTAATATTGCAGGCGATAACTTTCCTATGGATCCGGTTGGCGAGATAATAAATAGACCGCTACCAATCATAAAAAGACGTCGGTCGACGCGATGTTATTTTTGTTGTCGTCGGGCTTCCCGTTATGTTTCATCTCCGTAATGGTGTTTAACTAATAAACATATTCAACCGCGTTACACATTCAGGTCCAGCGAAAAACGCAAGTCGACACAAATCTAGTTGTATCATCTGATATCCTTTCCTTTATCAAATGCGAAATAGGGACAAATGATGATACTAGACTTATGTCGACTCGTGCTTCTTGTCGGGAAGCAGCCTCAGTTAGTAGGACACGGTTGCGACACTTTTTCCAATACCCAATAGGAAAAATGTATCTTTCGTGAATCGCTGAAAAACAACCTCTCTCATTGGATGCGTTCTGGAATTCGTGCAGGTAAGAGTGCCGCAACAGCCTTTCTTCCGATAACTGTTCATTTCTTGCGCTTGGAACGCTGTAGATACGCGTATCCTGAGAGATCTCGGACGGAAAACGAACACACTCGGCTCGCGAGCGGATAAATTGTGTTCGACGCGAATCCAGCTGAAAAAAATATTCAAAAGTCCTTAGTTGCGATTGAAAGAAACGAAGAAGGAAAAAGAGGAAAAAATCATCGTCTCCGATAATGATCTGTATCGTCGGGGCGAAGGGGGGGGGTTCTTCACTGCGCATGATCGGCGCGCGCGTGCGCGGCCGAGGAACACCGTCAGGGACGGTGTAGTGGAGAACGACGCGGCGCAGATTGGCAGCATTGGCGCGGCAACTTCCGGCAGTGGTACGACGAGTGATACGTCGCGGGGTAGGATCGCGTGTTCGCACCGTTGGGTCAGAATGTCGATCCCCTTCAGCGGCACTCGCACGCGTTCCGGCGGCTTGATCAGTGCCATCGTGAAGCAGCTGAAAAGAGTTAGCTTAAAGCCAGTCAAAAGGATCGATGTGCGGCTCGACCCGTTCCATGAGAATGTCAAGTCTACGAGGTTAGTTGCCTGAAGTTGTCCGCGCAGCGCCACCGGTGGGTACACCTTGCGCGGCACTAAGTCGAATCTCGCGTTTACGACGACTTTCGATACGATCGTCCCGTCGGATTTGTGAGACGGCGATCTAGCCGGAAAATATGAGATGCGTCACGAGAATTGCGTTTCTTTTCTTAATCTCCCGACTCGCACACCGCTCTTCCTCCAACGAAAAGGGAAGGAAAGCGAAACCTAAACGAACGTAATCCAAATCGAATCAATCATCTGAAGCATCAATGACTTGGATTCTCCCTTTTTTTCTTTTCACGTCGTTCCGAAGCGAAATCCATATTTCTCGAAAGGCTCGAGAGCGACCGACGATCAATCGTCGCGAACGGTCGAGTCAGTTCGACGCGGGTTAGGTTAGGTTTCGCGGCCGGTGACGTCGATAACGCACGCACGCGCAGCTCGCAACCCCCTCGCGGTTACGCTAGCAGACGATGCGCAGCCCCGTTATTTATAGAAAAGTGTCTCGATCGTGCGCGTGTTGTCGGTCGAGGAAGAAGGCCTTCTTCTTTCCAGCCGTGGAAAATTCTCCGAGCCGTTCGTGTGAGCGCCGCGTTATATACCAGGATAACCGCGTTATAAACGCGTACCGCAACGTGAGAGGTAAAAAGCAAGAAAAGCGAAGACTTGTATCCGCGCCCCTCTTTCTCTCTCTCTCTCTCTCTGTCCCCTGCTCGCAAGCTCGCAATACCGTGTGAGATTTTGACGTTTGTGCACAAACGAGGCTGCGCTCGATACCGAACGACGTGAATCATCCCACCCTCTCTTGCTTTAATATTGAATTACGAGATAAAACCGTCGCGCGAGCCTGCCTGCCTAGCTGTCGATGGCGTTGCGAAAGAGCACACGGCGCTTGTCTTGCTTAAAATAGAACTTTTTTCCCCTCCCTTCCCCTCCCCTTATCTGCAAAATCCCCTCTGATCCGACCGTTTGTTTCGATTTACGATCGATAGTCGATAGCTGGTGATACGGAAGTCTGCCTCGGGTGTATGAGCCGAGACGAGTTTTTCGGAGCGTACAATAAATTCACACGGACGAAGTGTAATCTACTTTGCGCTATAAGTGTGTCCAAATAATTGCCTCGAACAAACATTGAAAATTGAGATTTTAAGCGATTGTGTCGTGTCTTATGTCGCTGTGAGTCGTGTAGAATCGAAAAGATATCGAGCGCACGCAGGAGAGCCTTCGTGTTTCGTCATAATAATGTGGTTATCCGTGTGTCCTCCGTTGTTTAAACAAGAATGAGACTTACCGCTGCACTGGCCACATCCATACGCTTTGCCAAGCATGGAGACGGCTGTAGTGATACGAAGGGTACTCAAATCTGGCATGGGAAGCGGTAATTGCTGCTCCATTTGTGCCATTCTGCCTAGAAAGAAACGATAAATACTGAGAGACGAAGTTGGGACGAAGTTGGGAGGAAGTTAAGCGAGTCTAGAGTCGCGTAGTTCTCGCGAACCGAGACGCGAGATCGCCGAAAAAATGAGGGGAGCGAGGAGATATAGGGATGGAAAAGAGAATAGAGACGAAGAATGTAGCGAAACGTAAATCCGAGGCGACGAACGATTCGTTCTTACACGAATCGACGCTTAAACGTTATACCACGGACGACATTCGCGAGATCAACGCACGTAACGTTTCTTTTTATTTGCAGAGATTTCCTATTTTACATTAGCGCCCCGAAAATCGGCGCGACAAATCCGTACTGTTCACTGAAAACGGACATAGTGTGCGATCGTTCGGATCCGAGTATCACGTTCAGTCTTCGTGAGTATGGCACAGACATATTACACGTATTACAAAGTCACCGTTTATCTCTATACAGAGTACCAGTGTTCGCAAGAAATTCACTCATCAAATAAAATAAACGTCATAATACGTAGAACTCGAAAAGGTATAAAAAAAAGCGATAAAAAATGTAAAAAAAAGGGGGAACATAGGGTAAGAATTAATCTGAACGGGATCTCGTCTGCGTACGATCTAAGGAAGAGTTAAATTCGATTGGAAATCCAACAGATTGATGATCGCAAGCGCGAGTGATTTTTTGGGAGGGAGGGAGGAATGTCAATGTAGATTTTTCTTTTATACCTTTTCTCTCTCTCTCATCCATCATCGTGCTTACGCAACGCAGCGTAACGAGCAAATAGGTCACTCGATTTGTTTACTTTTCAGAGTCAGGCGAAAAAGTGGTATTTAAAACGCCTCTTTTGACGTGTCTGAATATTTTGGAGCTTTACAACAAGCACATCTCCTCTTTAGTACCGCCCGATCCGGCCGAGCTCGAAGCTAAAGAGGAAAAGAAGAAAAAGCGAAGGAAAAAGATTAAGATAAAAGAAGGAAGCAAACGTAGAGGAGTGTTTTTATAAGCTCATTGGCGACCTGTCGAATTATTTGTGACTGGTAATAAATCGATTGTCAAAAGAGATACTTCTAAATTATACCTTAAGTTAGATCGCTGGTATCACTGAGATATCTTTCGCAAAAATACAGTAGCTTAGATGATCATAGTCGCACCATTTCGGAAAAATTGTTGTAATCGTCGATCAATATATTTTACTCCAATTACTCTCTCTCTCTCTCTCTCTTAGCACCTGCTTGAATCTTTTAAACAAAAAAAAAAGACAATGATCGAATATCGACAATAATTATCGTTTTATATTCTTACAGGGGTTTTTTCCTTGACTAGATCGTAGCAATCAAATAAAAAAGAGCTCGAACTGTATTAATTTAATTAACGCACCTGAAACAACTCTGTTCGTCGACATACTCGATCGGACTCGTAGAAACGAGAAACACACATACACACACAAACAACGCGACACGTGCGTTTGTGCAATTAATCTCCTTGCAAAAAGGAAATTAACTACGAAAATGGCAAGGCAGACGGGAAGCAAAGGTTACAATATAAGGCTTATCGATACGCTCTACAGCCAAGTTCCAGCTTTCACCGACGTGTTTGACGAGGAAACTTGGTACACTTTCGTTATTTGTTTTGTCGCGGGTACCTTTCTGGTGGCATTTATTCTCTCGAGATTCATCACTATACATCCCGTTGACTAAAAGACTGCGAACGGCGAACTCGATTCACACAAGATGACGTCCGATGTACTTCCTCAATGTCGACCATCTCAATTCCTACGCATTCAATGTCATTGAGAGCCATTGATTTTTTTTTTTTTTTTTTTACGGGCGGCGTAACCACGCAAACCTTTAGGTACTAAATCATCTCGTTCTCACGTAATTAAAGCGACAAGCTCCTGCGCCGGTTAGCGTCGCAGGAAGAGATGTACGATATTGTAAGTGCAACATGTCAAAAACAGTTCATGCTCTGATAATAAAACGTTGAAAAGATGTAAAACTTCGTACGAGATATATTACGGAAGCAAACCCACACACGCGCACACACATACAAACGCGCACATGATTTAATTTATTTTTATTCTGTCAACATCCTATAACTCCTCCAAATACACATCATTATTTACAAATGGAAAAGAGGAAAAAAAAGAAACAATTGCGACAAAGAATTGAAATGTACAAAACAAGTAGCATTGCGATGGAGAATTAAAAAAGTGCACGAAAAACTAAAGAAATAAAAGATTTCACAGAAGAAAAAAAGAGTAAGTAAAGGATTTAAGAATGAATTTCGATTTTTGCACGCTTAGCAGCAAAATGCGCGAAGGAAACAGCGTGAAATATCTAAGAGAAGTTCAGTAAGCCGGTACGATTCTCGTTTCTCAAGTTCACGGAGTGTTGTGTGCCTCTCCTTTCTTCTGTCCACCTCTCTCTTTTTCTCCTCTCGTCTCTTTCTTTCTCTTTCTCTCTCTCTCTCTCTCTCTCTCTCCTCCGTTCCTTTCATTTCGTCCGTGCACGTTTCGCACTCCCTTCAAAGTCTTTGTCTCCCTTGAACGTACCGCAATCGTCCTTGCGAGCGTATGTTTTCTTTAAATTTACAACAGCATGAACATCTCCCTTACGGCCGTCGTGCCCGCATCTTTAAACTGTGTTGTTAAGAAATCCGAGTCTCCGTCGTGCGAGGAATAATCGTCAGGAAAATAAAGACTCCGTCCGTCCGTCCGTCCGTTCGCGGTCTCGCATGAACAAATTTACCTCGCGATTAACTCGTTCGAGATTAGCTGGACGGCCGCGTCGAGGCGCGACGCGTTTTAGTTGTGGCTGATAAAATCGTAATGCGCCAAGCCGAGACACTCGTCAGTTTTCATTTCGTTGACACTACATACACCACAATATGTACGTGTAAATAAACGTTCAACATTCAACGAGAATACGAACGGCTTTAGTTTAGCAGCGAATTCGCGGAAGAACGCCGAATTTTCAATGTCGAGTGGTACAATTATTCCGAGCAATCCGCAAAAGATCGAAAAAAAAAAAAGAGATACAGATTCTAAGTAGGTTGAGCAGATAGCCGACAAAATAAATAGAAAAAAGCGTCAGAGCGCAGAGATTTAAAACGCAGCTGCGAGTTCGTGAAATGATTTACCGACGTCGTTAAGTCTTTCATGGCAATAAAAATACGCGTATCAAATATGGTATCGATTTCAAGGTACTGTGCATCTGAAATGATACACAGCGCCTATAAATTTCAATTTCTCATTACGACAAAAAAACGAGACAACCGAAAGAAGGAGAAATGCGATTATTCGCGCATTTGGTATCAAAATAAATCATCATCCGAGTCTCGAAAGTATAGTTTTGAAGTTTCGGGGAAAAAAAACCGTTTTTTTCTTTTTTCAATTCTTCCGCGGACTTTTCCGGTTTATCTTCTTCACGGGAAAAAAAGGAAATGTGGCAGATTTCAACACTGGAAACACGGCTGGGTCACTTTTGACCCACTTGTAGACACTTTTTCCACACTTCTTTGGATTTTTATCACTGAGAAGCCTTCTTTATCATGAAACAATTAAACATTATGAAATTCAAAAAAGTCCACGGATAATTAGGGGAAAAAGAACTGGGTCGGAAACGAGTCCATCCGCTGTTCTAGGAGGGGAAAGAAATCACCGCGGTTCTAACCGAGCAAACGTGAATTTTTTCCAAACGAATCCTCGTATCCTTGGAAAATGGAAACTGCGAAGAAATTCGCGCGAAAATGGAGGGAAAATAGTGCCTTTCCGAAATCTTAAACCTATACTCGAAAGAGCGACGCACCGGTGGACGATCGGGGATCGAAGCGATTGCAATTTCGGCGAGTCGCGATCTCCGACGACACGAAGCTGACCGAAGCGTGCCGATCGCCGCGGATCTTCACTGTCACGGCTAAGCGTGGCCGGGCGAGCCGTTTTCACGCGTTTCTCAGACTCCGAAAGCCGAACTCGGCGAAATTCCATCGATTCTAATCCCCGTGATCACGCTTCCTTTCTCCTCCTCCTCTTCCTCAGTGCGCGCGTTCTCTCACCTTGTTTTTTTGCGTGTATCCTCACAGGTGACAGGTGAATATTAGGAGACGTGCACGAGAATCGCGGGATGCTCTGCGACGTTGGCTGTTCACTTCACTGCGGCATTCCCGTGGCTTCACGCGCGCGTGCGGAACGCAACGACGCACTGTGTGTAATCGTTCTCTCCTGTTGGCGTGCCGCGCGGGCTACATGGCTCTGCGCGCGGCAGTCGTGTCACTGCCGGCTCTCCTCTTTCTCTTGTTCTCTCTTTCTCTGTTCCGCTCTGTGTCTCTCTCTCTCTTTCTCTCTATCTATCTCTCTTTATCACTCGCGAACGAACTCGGGGAAAATCGCATCCCTCGCTGTGCTCTCGACGTCAATGTCCACGCACACGTGACCGGATTCTCTCTGCAACAACACCCGCAAACGTGAACATCGAGTTATCCTCTCAGCGAGTTGCTTTCGCGCGCGCACTCTTTCGCGAGATCGATCGATCGATCGCGAGGAGTTTCTTTTACAGGAACGGACACCGGGTCCAAGCGATAGCGAATTTAAACTTCCCACCCACGCTCCCTCGGAGCGTCTTTCGTCTCCTCTTTGCTCTGCCGAGCGACAATCTTCTTTCTTTTTTTTCACAATTTCCCGACTGCGGGTCGAAACGGGTATTTCTCGATTCTAACAGCGGCACGAACTACAAGCTTGCTTCCCTAGTAGCACACTTCATTGGCGTTACACTGGCTCGACATTGGCCAACATCGGCCGATATGTAACGCCAATGAAGTGTGACACCAGAGTTCCTGTGCGTGGGAGGAGACGAGGGAGGTGCGAGACGTGACGCAATGTTCGCGATTTTCCTTCGATCTGCCGGGTTCGAAGTAATCACTGCGACTTTCGCAGTCGTTTCCGCTACTCGATATTACGGAAAGATGATAACGGCAGATAAGATAATCTCTTTTCTCTCTTGGCGAGCACGTGTAATTATTCTTCGTCAACCTTGACACAAGTCCCGACGCGTTGCGCCGACACAATAGGCGAAAAATACGCGTTCGTTGGCGAAAAAAAGAGATATAACGCTCGATACATAAGGCGGTCGTCAAATGTCAAGCGACGACGACGCAACGTCGCACGCGGCACGGTGCTATTTCAACTTCGCTTCGTCCGTTTAAACGCGAACGCCCGCCGCCCGCGATATTATTGCAAACACCAAGACAAAGGCCGAGAGAATCGCCGTCGTCAATAACCCGGCGAGTATCGTCGCGTAAATCGAGCGTTTGCTCCGCTCACGCTTGCCGGCTGGCCGCGAGTCGTCCCGCCGACCGATGCGGCTCGTTATTCTTTTCTTCACCCGGCAGATCTAACCCCACGATAAATTTCATTCAAATCTCCGACTTACTGTCGTCGCGACACATTTCGCGCGGAACGAGGGCGACCGGTTGAAGCGTCGCCGGATCGTCGAGATCTTGCTGGTGCGAAAGGTTGCGCGCGTTCAACGAGCACAACGGTTGTGCAGCAAACTCCGTTAATACTGTCCTGTTCCCTAGGCAAAGTAATTTAAAATTTCTAATCGCATTTCTAGAATTATTCTTAAATATTGATGCAACGTGACCGTTACTTCGGAGCATTGTTGCCGATACACCAATCATGAATATTAAAAAATAATGCACCTGATTGGAAATTTTCTATGTCACTGTGCCTAGAGAGGATGGATCGGTAAATCGAAGGTTGCACAATTTTTTTTTATTTTCGTGGAATTTCACAGCGTATCCTCGTATCCAATAGGAAAATGTATCTCCTGAGAGTTATTAAAAAAAAAATTAATTTTCCTATTAGACAAGGGATGCGCTCCGAATTTATCAAAAAGAAAGTGTTGCAACCTTTTTGTCCACGACTGTACAACTATTGAGTAACAATTATCCACAATTGGTGTATACTTTCAGATCTGCCAATCACATCCATCTTCCAAAAGTCGATCATTCAACCGTTGTGCTTCCTGAACGCAGGCAAAAAATCGTGATGCACACAATGAAGATAGGGATATATTCTGCGTTTCCGCGTCGCGTTTTGAATATGTTTGTCGTGTTCCAAGACGCAGAGTTAACGACGAACGTCGTGACGAAAACGGAGTCGCCTTTTCGCAACCTATAAGCGCGTAATATTATTTAATATTAAGTAATATTCTGAACATATTTTCAGAATATTAGACGTAAAATTCTAATATCATATTCTAATAATATTATTTAATATTAAATAATATTTCTGGAATATTAATAGATGCTTACATGTCCATTCCTAATGATATTTATAAAATAATATTATTTGATGTTATTGCAATATTATATATTTTTTTAATATTCAACTCTGTATATATATATATATATGTATGTATAAGAACATTTTTTTAATATGCCAATAATATTACGTGAAGTGGACATGTAATATCAATAGAACATTTCTGTAATATTAAGAAATATTACATAATATTTTTAGAATATTATAAGAATATTATTTTAACATTTAATAATGTTCACATAATATTCTAGGAATATTACGTGCTTATAGAGCTGTTGCTCATACCGATATGTTTTTATTCGTGCTAGGACACGCGAACAAAGTCGCTGTCGTCACTCTCGTCAATCATGCCGATGTTCGCGCTCCAGCTGGACATCGCGCCATGTTACGAATTAACGCGCGACTCGCAAGGCCACGTAAGACGTATGATCTCTCGATGGAAGGAAGGTCGCGATACTCCCCCGTTGAGTTCCGCCACACGTCCAGGTGGAGTCCAATGGGAGAATTTGTTCCACAGCGACTCCCCCAGGAGGTCAATTTTCTTATTGGATACCGGACACGTTGTAAAGTGCATCGAGTGTCGGAAATGTTTGGTTGCGCGCGTTCAGCGAACGCACGGTTATACACACAGTAGACTATATTAACGGAGTCTCATGCCTCAGGCATAGTAATA